AATGAGCATTCAGAAGCATAATACATGTATAAATTTTATGTTTAATTTTCTGTGGCATATGTAAGCAGTTTTTATAAATTGTTGGTATTGCTTATAAATAATTATTACAAATGTTGAGATAAGGGAACCCCTGTGAACCTTTAACATTTCTCAGGAGTCAGTGGTAAATCCATGAACATGTATTTTTAAACCAAATTACCCACCTCTTGGAGTTCAATCTTAATTATTTATTAAAGCAGTGAAATATCAGTTTTTTCCAATGATAAAATAAGCAACACTGGAAATTAAATCCCAAAGCAGTACATCTTTAGTTTGTTCAGTAGATAGTAGGACATCCCACAAGCCATCATATATTTACAACAGTTTTTATACTCAATCTATTTTTTTCAGCAGTCTTTTGGGAAATATCCCAAGATAATTTACTACATAAGTGCATCTATCTTCTAAAAGACATTTGGAATATTTCTTAGTCTGACCTCCGCACTCGGAGACACTCTATAAAGGAAACAATCAGAAAAATTTAACAAAGAAATAAATAGGTTAAGGAGAAAGCAATCTAGGCGTTTGCACAGAGCTTGCTACAGTGCCATGGCTACATTTAAGAGCTGTAGTTCTTCCTCACATTTTAACTGAGAGCCACTAGTTATAATGTTATTTAAAATCTCACCATTAAATAAGACAGTTACTGAACAACTAAAAAATACAAAATATCACAAAAGCAAAAAGTAGCAATTCATGCGCACGCACGCTTGTGTGCAAGAAACAAAACGTTACAGTTAACCGTTACAATTGCTCTCATTTCACTTCACCATCTCATCCTGCGCAGTTTGCCTCCGGAACGCCGTGGTAAACTCTGCGCAGTGCAGTAAGAACAAAGGCCAACACCCTCTGCAAAGGTGTTCTGCAGCATCGTGGTCCAGGGATTTTAGGACGACGACGATTTTGGGGGGAGAACTGTCGTCGCTTGCACGTCCTCTCTTACCCTTCTGCTATCTGGTGGAGCTGGGCGCGGGTCCCCAGGGCTTCCAAAGAGTGTGGTTTCCGCCCTGGACTTGCCAAGCGGCCAAACTAAAGCACCGATCACTTACTGAAGCCCACCTCAGCCCTCCCGTCCACTTTGTCCTCAGTCTTCAGGTTTTCTTTTTTCCCGCTAGGGCCTAACCTGTGGGTTCACCAGAACTCCTCAACAGACAGTGGGGTGAACGCATGGACTGCCCCCACCCAAATGCCAATCACGACTGTCTCCCACTCGGCGCTGGAGTCATCCATTGGAAGATTAGTAGCCACCAGGGTTAGTCAAGGATTTCATATGCACTTTCCCTGAGAAAACCCCGAAAAGCAAACGACACCTGAACTTCACACACTCCTACATATCACTGGAAATCCGCCTGTGTTTGGCTTTACGGTGAGTGTCGAGGGCCGGATTGAGAAAAAAAAAAGTATGGAAGGTTATTCCCGGTCGGCTCCCCCTTCCTGCCAGTCTCAGAAGGCTTGTAGGTTTACAGACTTCCTGCCGCTCCCCTTTTGCAGCCTTCATCTAATTCGGTGGGTGGGGGTGGGGAATTGGGGAGGAAAATAAAGTCGTTGTGGGCGGCTGGGGAACCCGGCGTCAGTCCCCCGCAGCCGCACGCAGGTACCCTGCAACATCGCAGTGGCCCCTCTCCTCAGCCAGGTCCAAGGGCAGACGGCCCCAGGCATCGCGCACGTCCAGCCGCGCCCCGGCCCGGTGCAGCATCACGAGCGTGTCCAGGAAGCCCTCCCGGGCAGCGTCGTGCACCGGTCGTGTGAGAGTGGCAGGGTCCGCACAGTTGGGCTCGGCACCGTGGAGCAGCAGCAGCTCTGCCACGCGGACACTCCCCATCATCATGACCTGCCAGAGAGAGCACAGTGGTCAGAGCCAGGGTGGAGTCAGGTGTGGGAGGTGCCGGCCGGCCGGGGCGAGGTGAGCGGAGCCATTTAAACAAACACCTATTTGTGAAGTATCCACCCAGTGCAGAGGTGTTCGGGTCTCTGGTGTCTGGTGTTTCTTCATTTGCTGATGCAATCTGCTTTCCCACCCCACCTTCAGGTTATGCTCTACTCAGTACAAATTAAATGCCATTTTATTCTCTAAACGTGCAGAGACAAGAAAGTTGATGGTAAAGTCATGATCGTCATTGTGGAAAACAAATCTTAATTTCCATTGGAAGATAGGAATCTATTTTGTTAAATGATTTATAGGCACAGTTAAATTTATTTGGCTTTTAAAATTTTAAATTATTTGCCTTGCTGACTCCTCCTCCATAATCTAGGTCTCAAAATATTTACTAGGAAGCCAACTACTGTTTGTTAGAAGTTGGGAGTAATGGTTTAGGGGAGAAAATAAACCACTACGTTTTTTAAAAAGTTTAGTTCTCAGCAAAGCCTGCGTGGAAGGCATTTATCTTGGGTCTGTGTTCATAAACAGATTGTAGTGTGATAAATTGAGCCAGAGTTGGAGATTAGAAGGGAAAAGTAAATTAAATCATGCATAATCCTATAAAATTGTGACAACAAATGATTTTTCTTAAACAGTTCATCATTTTAAATTTAGAGTGTAATATATTTAATGTAATGTAAAACTAACAATATATTTATATACTATAGGATTTTATAATAGCTAAGATTTTATAACGTTAAATAGTAAATATTTTGCTATATAAAAAGAGCTTGGGCCAGGTGCTGTAGGCCTGTAAGCCCAACACTTTGGGAGGCAGAAGCAGGCAGATCACCTGAAGTCAGGATTGGAGACCAGCCTGGCCAGCATGGTGAAATCCTGTCTCTACCACTACAAAAAAACGAAAAAAAAAATTAGCTGGGAGTGGTGGGGCCTGCCTACAGCCCCCAAAACTCAGGAGGCTGAAGCAGGAGAATCACTTGAACCCTGGAAGGTGAGGTTGCAGTGAGCTGAGATCGTACCACTGCACTCCAGCTTGCCAAACAGAGTGAGACCCCGTCTCAAAAAATAAAAAATAAAATAAAAATAAAATAAATAAAAAGAGCTTGGATGTTAGCAATCAGGATGATGCATAACTTAGAAAAAGCATTTTGCAGGAGTAATCCTATAGCAGCCATTTGTGTACACGAACATTATGAAAACATTTGCTGACATATTTTAAGTTAATTATAAGACAGTTTTTGGTAACTAAATGCCCCAAATTAAGTTATGGGCTTATGTACTTTTAAATGTACCATTTAATTGAAAGGCAGTATACTCCTCATGTTTTGCTTGTTTCATTAATATTAGAAATGTTCATTTCCTCCCTTGAAAACCAAGATAAGTTATTTTTACTAGCGATGTAAGGGTATTTTACACAGAAAAAAGAGAGGAAAATAGCTGTTCTTAGTATTTCAGAAAATGGTGAATTATATATATAACTTGTTTTTATAATTATTAATAGAATTTTAAGTTTTCAAGAACTTTACAATATTTTTGCTCCTTTAAAATATCCCTTATTTGTTATACCACTATTCTAAGAATTCAAAAGAAATTGACACTTCTTTAAAATCGACACTGTTAACAAGATCCCTTAGTATTAGCTTAGTTTTGGAGGGTGATAGTGAGGTGAATACTGAATATGACTAATAGCCAACGGTAAAGTACAAAAGTGTTGTCCTAAGATTGTAAAAGAAATTAAAAACATCAGTACTAATTAAAGCAGGATTCGTAAACACTGAATACGAGTACTTTAACAATGAAGATAAAGATACATTATTTATGAAGATCCTTTGCCATTCAAAAAGGACCTAACAGTTGCTGCAGGAATATTTTTGTAATCTGGGCACTGAGTATGATAATTAAATGAAAAATCTATAGAACTATATGTATATATTTTCCTCTTATGCATCACTTATAAGATATTGCTAACATAAAAAGAACTAAGTACTGTGGTTGAGGAATCCAGTCTCATTCCTTTGAATTCAATTAACCTTTATGAGAAAACAATACAAAAGATTTCATATAGTAGCTTAAAAGTTTACATTGAATTATTTCCATGTACTATGATTTTGTAGAATTTCTTAAATCCAATCCAGAATGTATAACTTAGTTTACTTATCTGTATCGTTGAAAGCAGGCAGACAAGATAGTCTTCCTCCCCAACTAAACTTTTTCTCTTTTTTTCCCCAATTCAATTTGTTTCTTGCATCTCTGATCATGAGATGGCAGAAAACCATTTTTTAATGAAAAGCTGAAACAGTGGGTTTTTCAATCTCTCTCTTTAGGATTTTTGTTGGGTAAAAGCCTGTTTTACGCCTGGGCTGCAGACCTCCGGCCAATGGAGGCTGCTGTGTAAGTCTACACCGGCGATCTCGGTTCCAGCCCCGACTGGCCGAGGCCGCGCCCCGCGTTCGCGCGCCCCCTGCTGGCGAGGCCCCGGGGCCCCTGCTACCTGGATTGCACGCCTCCCAAAGCGGTTGACTCCGTTGGGATCCGCGCCGGCCTCCAGGAGCTGCCGCACCTTCTCCACTTGTCCCCGCGCCGCGGCGCTGGCCAGGCCCTCATCGCTGCTGCCCCCACTGGGCATGCCCTTGTTCTCCTCGCGCAGTCCGCGGCCCCCAGACGCGCAGCGGCCCGGATAATCCACCGTGGGCCGTGAACTTAACGACACTCCTGTCTTCTTTCCCACGCCGCTCCGGCGCACTGTCTTCTTCCTGGGAGAGCTGGGCTCAGCTTCATTCCCCTCCGCCGTCCGTCTGCGGCTTGGGGCCCCGTGCAATGGCAGAGCGGCGGGTATTAGCTCCGGGTTTTTCCTGGCGCCCAAGAACCACCCGGCGCGACTGGATTGCTTCTGGGAAAAAGTGCCTCGCGCGGCCGCAGCCGAGCTCAAAGCGGCTCTCCAGTAGGGTGCGGACGCGTCGCGGAGTCCTCACTGCCCCGCCTTGCTCTGGCAGAGTGGGGAGCCAGCCGGCAAAGAATTCAGTTTTCAGCTGGGCCAAGGGGCCTGCCTCTCCCCACCCCCTTAGGCTCCGCCCCCTGCCCGCCTGCTCCCAGGGAGGCCGGCCAGGCCAACGCGTCACGGCGGCGGGGAAGCCCGCCCAAAGGTGCTGGGACGCATGCGCCAGAGACTGGGCCCGGGAGCCGCCGGGACGCCGGCTGCGCGGCTAGCTGGATGTCTAGTAAAGCCAAGGCTAAGATTTTGGGAATGTTGACCCACTGCCCTCAGCTTCTAATTCCCAGTGGGCGGAGCAGAGGACTTCTGTTCCTTCAGCCTTAGGCCAGGTGGTTTCACTGGGGAGACGTTGGTGGCTCCCTTGTGGCCGAGAGAAAGGCACTGAAAATAACTCCGTGTTAAGATGTCTGAAAGCGACAGCTCTGCACCTGTCATACAAGTTAAACTCATCCCACGCAGTACTTGAACTTCGTAAGTTTCGTATCTTGTGTCAACCTTAGCAATTTTCTTTTGCACGTGTCTTCCTATTTGAATTAGTCAACCATAAAAATAGAGAAAAATCCTGAGAATCCTGTTTTGCATGTGCCTTTAAATTCTTTCCATCTTTGCATTATGGTTATAACCCTCAAAAAAGAAAAAAAACTAGTTAGAGATTGAGTGGCAACCTGGAATACATAAGACAAAAAATATTTATACTTTAAGAATCTGAGATCCCAGTTTCATCATATTTGTGCAGTAAATCTTTGTTTGCACTCTTACCTGTTTAAACCCACTTTGTCAAGCATTTAATTTTTTATTTATCGTGAGTAGTAAAGGAAATTTATGCAGTAATAATGAAACATAATAAGAGAAGGGTGTGGTGCTGAGCCTGTCATTAAACAGGCTGAACCTGTTATTAAATTCTCTTCTGAAGATTTAAATGCCAAGTGCTTTTTTTCCCCTTTCTAATCTTCCTAGGTGAGTTTGAATCAACATTTATTACTTTATTTAAAAAATTTCAGCTGATGCTACATTGACTAGGAAGAAAACCACAAATTATGGATTTGTTGCCTAAAAACTTTGGTGAGGAACTACACAAGTGAACCTGTCCTTAGAGTGAACGATTTTTATTTACAGAATCATTTTGGTTCAGAGTGCTGAGGAAGACAAAATTTTAAAAGGAGGACAATTGGTTGTATATTGCAAAATGAGAGTCTCCACCTGTTTCTTCTAGGATACCTCAGCTCTGACTCCTCATCCCCCAAATCCCTGTAGAATGAGAGAAAGCTTTCTTTTAAAGGCAGTGGTGCCCATGGAAATGGTGGTTAGGGCTGAAAATCTGACAGAGCCTCAACAGAGCTGAAATCTACCTGGACAGGGAAGGGAACTGCTTAACATTAATAACAATTTCTTTGTCTTTACTATCCAACCTCCATTTCCTAGTCTTCTTAATTCCTCTACCTTTCACTTTTATTCAAACTTCCACGTTTATCTGTAAAAATGCCCTTTTGTTTGTTGATAGCCACTCCATTTTTGGATTTGACTAGAGGAACCAAAGTCTACTTCTGGGTGAAACGCATGAAGAGATTGTGTTTGTCTAGGAAATCAGTCCCCATGGATAGTATTGGGGATAACAGATGTGTAGGTAGAATAGAAGAAATAGGAGGAAAGATGGGCAGTGGGAAGCAGGAGCCTTTAAAATGAATGACATTGGTTCTTTACCATTCACCCTGAGGGGCCAAGCCACTAGACTGGTGTGGTGGATGTGGTGGCAAAGACACAGTCCAGAATATCTTCATCAGAAAAGCCTAGGTACTCCAAAATGTAGTGCACAGTCAAGTGCAACAAGGAAGGTTGCCTTCTTGTTATTGGGATCTTGTCTCTCATAGATACAGTTATTAAGTTTAGTTCAAAGTAAGTAATGCAGCATGTCCTATATTCTAGAAGTTCAAAGTTGAATAAGACATGAGTCCTCACTTTTAAGAAACTCTATAGTGGCACTAGAAACTAATAAATAGTTTCGATTTAATGTATTTAAAGTTACTTTACTGAGATACATCTACAAGATACTTTGGAAGTAAGGAAGACTGGAATTTAGGGTGAGGGTACAAGGAAAGTTTCTAAGAGGAGATGCCAATCGAAGAGAGTTTTCAAAGGAGGCATCAGAAATGAATGTTTCTAGAGGCTGGGTGCAGTAGCTCATGCGTGTAATCCCAGCACTTTGTGAGGTTGAAGTGTGTGGATCTGGATCGCTGGAGCTCAGGAGTTTGAGACCAGCCTGAGCAACATGGCGAAACCCCGTCTCTACTAAAAACACAAAAAATAGTCCGGCGTGGTAGTGCGCGCCTGTGATCCCAACTACTCAGGAGGCCGAGGCAGGAGAGTCGCTTGAACTCGGGAGGCGGAGGTGACAGTGAGCTGAGATTGCACCACTACACTCCAGCCTGGGTGGCAGAGTGAAACTCGGTCTCAAAAAAGAAAAATGTTTCCTGTGCTCTTGCTTTGACCTTTGAGTTTCTCTGAAACTTATCAAAAAAATTAGGACAAGATAGCCTGAGCGAATTCCTGAGCCATTTCTTAGGTGGTAAATGTGTCCGAAAAATGAAAACTGTTTGTAGTTGATAGGGAAATAGAAGATAATATTCTTCTTTGACGGGAGCACAAAGAATGGTGATAGAGAAAGAACCAATGGGTGAGTATAATGACGAGACAGATATGTGAGCTTCATTAAGCAAGTCGGCTGAAAAACAATTTTGGGTAGGGAAAATGGTGCTGGGGGCCTTCGCGCTTACTAGCACCACGGACAGCGCTTTGCTTATACTCACACGCCTGGGTGGTCCTAACCTGCTCCAGACAGAATTCTAAAGCTTCAAACTTGATCTTCCAAAGCCCCTTTTCTCCATCAGATAGAAAGGACATTATGGAAGCACAATGGATTTCTTTGAAATACCAACCCGTTCAACCTGATTTCCAAATATGATTAGATTTTATCTAATATTCCCTGTATAAAGAATACCATATAATCTATATTTAGGAGAGAAATACCATTTATTGTGTACTCTGTCCCAAGTGCTTTACAGCTGTTCTTTCCTTCCTTCCTTCTTTCCTTCTTTCCTTCCCTCCTTCCTTCCTTCCCTCCTTCCCTGCCCCCCTCCCTCCCTCCCTCCCTCCCTCCTTTCCTTCTTTCCTTCCTTCCTTCCTTCCCTTCTTTCTTTTTGACAGTCTTGCTCTGTTGCCCAGGCTGGAGTGCAGTACAGTGGTGCGATCTTGGCTCACTGCAAACTCTGCCCCCCGGGTTCAAGTTATTCTCCTGCCCCAGCCTCCTGAGTAGCTGGGATTACAGGCGCAGCCACCATGCCCGGCTAATTTTTGTATTTTTAGTGGAGACGGGGTTTCACCACGTTGGCCAGGCTTACCTCGTGACCTGCCCGACCTGGTCTCCCAAAGTGTTGGGATTATAGGTGTGAGCCACTGCACCTGGCCTGTTGTTTCATTTAACACTCGTAAAACTCCTTGTGGAATGTGTCCATATTTCAATTTTACAGACAAGCCAAAAGGATCAGAGAAGTTGAGTGACTTGTATACTAGCTAATCATTATTGGAGATGGGTATAACTTGTGCAACTTCAGAGTCTTTTTACCCTTTATACTGCTTAGTGTTTTTAGCAGCTGTCATGGTAGGCTTAACTGGAAAAAAAGTAATGAACTAACTTATAATTATTTTTCAGTTTACACTGTGTTTTCCAGATGGCTTACCTCACAGCACACCCTTAATAGACTTCAAAGATGACACTTCACATGTAATACAATAGCACATTTATCTTGGACAATAGAGTGAGATTATGAAACATTTTACCTCTCTTTGAAACCCAGCTGTCTCTAGGGTGAAACACAATCTGTTGTTAATGCTTTAAACACATTTAAAAGATGAAGTGGTTGGGAACATAGTGGGCAGTTGAAACTTGGAATTGTCAGAGCCATGTCTTTTAACATGGTGAATAATTTATAAGTGAGAAGAAAAAGTTAACAGTAAATTGGCTTAGAATTTTGCAGGTCAGTGGAAGGAAATGAGTAGTATCTGTTCCAATGTTGCATGTAACTCAGATCACTCGTAATAATATTTTTATATTCTAGTTGGTGAAACTGTCTGTATATGACCTCTCTAAAAATGTATGAGTAGAATTAGTTGACTGGCTAAAAGAAACAGTGACCCAACCTTGCCCTTATTTGTGCGCTCTTTTGCATATTGTTAGGTCTAAGATAGTGTTTCTAAGTGAGAAGAGAAGGAAATTTATAATCACTTTGGGGCCCTTTTCAAATTTTATATGACCCACCTACCCACCAGGAGGTTTGATTTTCTCCAGTTTATGAGTTGGGAATTATTGCTCCATGATTCACAGTATATCCACTTCTATATTCCCGGGTGTTTTTCAAGATTAATTAAATGGTAGACTTATTCATCATTGTAGCATCTGTATCAGTTTGCCAGGGCTGCCATAACAAAATACCACAGACTGAGTGGCTTGAACAACAGATATTTATTTTTTCAGAGTTTTAACTTCTCCTGAGCCCCCTCTTCTTGACTTGCAGATGGCCATCCTGCTGCTGCCTCTTCACATAGTCATCCTGTGTGCACATATGCCCCTGAGTCTCTAATTTCCTCCTCTTTTGAGGACACCAGTCAGATTGGATTAGGGCCCACCCCAAAGGCCTTATTTTAACTTAGTCACTTCTTTAATGACCATGTTTCCAAATATAGTCACATTGTGAGTATTGGGATTAGGACTTTAACATAAGAAATTTGAGGCAACAATTCAGCCCATAACAGCATCTTAATTTTTACACATTTTGCTTTTCATTTCTTTTAAAACTGTTGTTAATAATTTATTCATTTGAATAAGGATTAAAATAAGGCTAGCACATTGAAATTGGCTGAAATTGCTACCAGTCTGTTGTATCTCTCTCTCCCTCTTTTTTTCTTTAAGGGACAGGTTACACCTTGTCGGTCAGGCTGGAGTGCAGTACCATGAGCAAGGGTCACTGCCATCTCGAACTCCTGGGCTGAAGGGATCCTCCTGCCTCAGCCTCCAAAGTAGCTGGGACTACAGGTGTTGGCCACCATGACTGGCTAATATTTTTACTTTTTGGTAGCGATGAAGTCTTGCCATCTGTCCTAGGCTGGTCTTAAACTCCTGGGCTCAAGCAGTTCTCTCATCTCAGCCTCCTAAAGTTCTGGGATTACAGGCATGAACCACTGTACCTGGCCTCTTGTTTCCTCTTAATCTACAGTTTCCCCTTTTTGCCTTCTTTTTTTTAATTTCAATTTATTTCTTGCAGAAATTGGCTTTTTCTGTAGTTTCCTAAAGTTTAGATTTTGCTGAATGCTTCTTTATGATGACACTTAACATTTTTCTTTGTCATTTGCATTTCTAATAATTTATTATTTAAGCCTAGAGTCTGGATGTGATTCAGGTTTGATATTTTGGCAAAAGT